TAGGAAATCTTTTAAGCAGGGATGAAAGAATGAGTAGAAATGGAGTCTGTTGAAAGACGAACAGGTTCGAAGGCAGAAGGAAAACCTGGAAAAAGAGCGTTTCAAGGAAAACCCAGAGAAAGAGCGTTCTGAGCAACTAGAAGTGAACACGCTGGTAGAGAGGGTGTCTGGACAACCACAGAGGGACCAGAGCGGGCTGTGGTCAGGCTCAAAGTCTGGGGGCTACAGCCTATGATGTGAATTCCAAGATACTTCAAGTCAGGACCACAACTATCCCTGGAACACATACAAATAGGAAATTATTAACCAGTAAGAACACTGATTTATTAAAATATATGTGCTTATTTTTCTGATCCATACTCAAGAAAGAGGAGGGGGAGGAGGAGCAGAAGGAGGAGGAGGAGGAAGAAGAAAGCCCGTGACTTACACATTAAGGCAATTTTCAGATGCTTCGCTTGGTTTGAGAAGAAGCCCTGTGGGTGCATGAGTGCATGTGTGCATGTGTGTACAATGAAGACCGTGGGGACTGTGGAGAAGGCTCATTTGGTAAAGCGTTTGCCACTAAGCAATAGAATCTGAGCTCAGAACCCTCTTAAACTAGTATTTGAGAAGGCAGAAGTGTGTGTGTGTGGGGGGGGTGTCCCTGCGCTGTCCAGCTTATCCAGCTGGACATCAAGAAAGAGGGCAGGAGAGCGGGCTCAGAGCAGAACACTTGCAGCTCCAGCAGAAACACTGAGTTTGGTTCCCAGCACCAACATGGCCACTTACAACTGCGTGGAACTACAGTTCCCTGGAGGCCTAGCGGCCTCTGACCTCCGTGGCATACGGACATATTTGTTGGCAAACACTCATACACATAAAATAAAGATAAGCACATCATTTCTAAAGGTAGACGGCTGTGGCGGTTTTAGGAATGGCCCTATAGGCTCCTATATCTATGCCCAGTCACCAGGGAGTGGGACTGTTTGAAGGGGTTACGAGGTGTGGCTTGTTAGGGCAAGTGTGTCACTGGCCTCTGAGGGGCCGGTGCCTCTGTGTGCCTGCGGAGGAGGACACACTCTCAGCTACTTCGCTGGCGCCATGCCGCTTTTATCCGAGTTGCCGTGGTCATGGCGTTGAGTAAGACAATGGCTCCGTGGGCAAAGATGCCTGCAGCACAAGTTGTAGTGACTTCCACACACAGATGAGTAATAATAAAAACATTCTTGTAACAAAACATGAGGCATAGAGCAAATGATTAAGACACATGTCAACTCTGGCTTCTACATGACTGCACATATAATATGCATGTATGTACACATACACAACACTGAAAGAGATTTTAACATTTTTAAAATCAAAGCAGTCGAGAAAGTATCAAAAAAATGAAAAGCTCCACGCCTCTGCTGCCATGCTCCATAGGAAACTTCAGTTATAGGTTTGTCCTTTTGTCTTCTCTCCAGAAGGTCTCCCACAGGGAAAATAGTTTACAAAACCAATAAAATATTTTCCCGTGACTAATTTATATTGCTCTTTAGTCTGTCTACTTCAAATTGTGATTACAAATACGAGTTATTTCCTCCCAAACTGCAATGATAAGTTGGGGGTAAAACTAAAGGAAGTTAGAGCGGCAAAAGCTAAGAGAATGACAGCAAGAACTCTAGGTAATGTCTGTGTCCTGAGGGTTGTACTTAGCACCTTAACACGTGGTATCAGGTCATCCTAGTGATGTGAAGACATACATGTCCTGGGCACCTTAACACGTGTGGTAGTATGTCATCCTAGTGACACTGAGACATGCATGTATGTACTAGATACCTAAACACACGTGGTCTCATGTCATCCTAGTGACTCTAAGAGGTACATGCTAGTTTCTATTTCACAGAAAAGGAAACACGGCCTATAACATAAGCAAGTACTTCCCTAAACCATGTGCATCTAAGACTGTGCAGCCCAATACAGTAGCCTACGGCTGATACGCACTTGAACAGTAATGTGGGATGTCCTTCTGTGTATGTGTTACCCTTATTGGTTAATGGATAAAGCTGTTTTGGCCTATGGCAGGCCAGAATATAGCCAGGCTGAAAGAGATCTACAGAGTAGGCAGAGTCAAGGAGACTTCATGTAGCTGCCGATGGAGAAAGATGCTGCCAGAATCTTACCGGTAGGCTCATGGTGATACTTAGATTAATAGAAATTGATGAATTTAAGATGTAAGAGTTAGTTAATAAGAAGCCTGAGCTACTAGGCCAAGCAGTGTTGTAATCAATACAGTTTCTGTGTGGTGATTTGGGTCTGGAAGGCCGGGAACAAATAAGCAGCCTGATTCAGAACAGTGGTCAGTCCCGACAGTTTTCTAAGGCAGCACAGCAAAGTAAATATCTGATTCTTTGGAATGGCGTATCTGATAATATGGAATGGTACTGAAATGACATTAGTTTATATTTAGTTGGTTAAAGAAATGTACTATTAAATTACTTCTTTATGCTCATTTTAAACATCAGTTACCACAAATTTTCTACTTGTCCACGTGGTTCACACCTTCTCTCCAACAGTGTGGCTCTAGCACACACGCTGGAGGTTGGTGAGGCCAGCAGACACCAAGCTGAGAGGCAGACCTGTGTAGAAAAGGCTATATAGATCCAAAGAGATCTTAAGAATCCTCTTTATCAGTGACTGGTAATGGGTCAGGTATCGAATCTCTGCATTTCAGCTATGGCACTTTAAGTAAAGCCCCAAACTGCTCCACATATTATGTAAAGTAGATGGCACACAGTGAGCAAAGGGAGACAAGGATTGATGAATGCATCCTAGAACAACTGGTTAGTTTAAAACTGCCTCCCCCACCCCAAAGAGTAGAAAACCTGCTTTTTTGAAAACCATGTTTTACTATCTTGTAAGGAGTTAGGTACCTCCTACTTGCCATTAAGAATGCCTAATCTACAAAGTGCAATATAAATCGCCTGCAGTTCACCCTCTCTCTGTTTAGCCGTTAGCTGATAAGATGCCATGGACCCACAGGTAAATGATGAACTTGGGGTGAAGTACAAAAAACAGGACGTAGAAGTAGGTGTCCAAGCCCGATGTTGGCATTTTAATCTCAGTACTTCATTGGCAGAGTCAGGAGAATCTCTGTAACTTCGAGGACAGACTGGTCGACATGGTGAATTCCAGGATAGCCAAGTCAATATAGAGAGACCCTGTCTCCAAAAAAAAAAAAAAAAA